TATGACTCTTGAAGATATGGCTAGGACTATGCTTCTTTCTAGTAAACTGCCACATTCTCTATTTTGGTAAATTGAGGCATCATCAAGAGGATTCTTAGTAAAGAACCTGGTTCATTAGTACTGGTTCATCTGAATAACGAGGTATGTTCTCTACACTCTGCACAATTAGAAATATTAATATTTAACTCTTGATCAGAGTCCTACCTATGTTCAAAATCTCCACAAAAACTTATCCCTCTAAAGTTTGAACCAGTTCCATCTCTAATAGAATCCTCGCCGCATATAATGCCTAGAATCTAGGGAAGCCTAACCGCTCATTCAACCTGAAATTTCAGGTTGATTGGACTTCTAATTGACTACAAAAAGCCGCTGCTAGTCATTAATTAAACCTCTCTATTTAAAAACCCATCATCACAATCACTGCCATCTCATAATTCTCTAAAACCGTCGAATTTCTTCTGCTCTCTATTCTTCTCTCTTCCAAAATCCAAATTCAAAAATCCTCCTTCAGAATTAGCAAGATGTCTAACCCTCAAGATAACCCAGGTACTCCTTCACAACCTACCCTCTTTGATTCCTCCACCCCTCCTCAACCCAGCACAACCCCCCAACCTAGGAGAAGACGAGTGAAGATGCTTGCTCGCAAAACTATGGCTACAGGTGCCCTTTCAAAGAAGCTGAATGCAAAATTAAAGGCTAGCCAAGCCCAAGATTCTGAAAACTCAGATGACTCCTTTAAATCTATGAGTGAGGGGGAAGGAACTGGGTCTTCTGATTCTGAGAAGGCTCAAAATCCCCCTTCTAAGGTACGTTATGTTCTAGTTGAAAATTTAGATAATAGGTTTGTTCTGGTTGGGTCTGTTATGAATGTGAAAACACCTGAGTAAAGAAGGAGAGGAGGTAAAAATGAAAGTGAAAAAGAAAAAGAGAGTGATGGTGTAAGTAGTGATGTGAGGGGAAAAGGGAAAGAAATGGCTGATTTCTCACCCACTTCTGAAATGGTTAGACCGGCTATCTATGGGGCTGAACATGAAACTGTAGAAAAGGGTAGCAAGAAAATAGGGGGAAGTGCTTCAGGGGAGGCTGCTGAAGTGTTGGTTAATCTCAGTTCACAAGCAGATGATCCTGGTTCATCTATTGAGGAGACCCTAGCAGACCTTCTGAAGAAAGCGGGTGCAAGCTATAATCCAAAGAAAAGGAGAAACCCAACACCAAAAGCCCCCAGCACTGCAAAGAATACCAAGAAAAGAAAGGCTACTTCTCTAACAACTGCTGAGATTCCCCTACCAAAAGGAAGGGCCACAAGAAGTATGAGTGAGTTACAAAAGGCTATGGCATAAAGCAAGAAGAAGAGGATGGATAAAGGGAAAGCTAAGGTTGCAGAGCCTGCTGAGGCTGTTGATGTGGATGAGATGGAACAGGTCCATCAGGAATAACACACAACTGTGGAGGTTTAGACCCCCAAGCCCAAAAAGACCAAGACTTCTTCCAAGAAGTCTTCATCTGTGTCTAAGACTGCTGAACCTTCATTGGCCAAGAGGACAAGGTCTGCTGTGAAAACCAAGCAAGTTAGAATTACTGAGGATGAAGATTGGAGTGATGAAGAAGAGGGTGAATCTGACCATGAACAAGATAAGCTGGCCAAGTTGGCAAAAGAAATATCTTGAAAGGTAGACTTTTGAAGGATTTGGTGGAACCAGGGATGGTTCGATTGGTTGATGCTCTAGCTGCTCAGGGCTGGAAGGACATGGTCCTTCAGTTGGATGGTAGGCTAGCAAGGAATGAGATCATTGAATTCATGGCAAATGCAGAAGCCAAGGATGGCAGAGTTACCAGCCAGGTGAAAGGGGTTCAAGTGACCTTTGATGCAAAGGAGCTGGGTGAGATTCTTGACATTCCCTCTGAAGGGTATGATGACTACACAAGGCAAAGATGGCCAAGTCTGGACTCCCTTCCTACTACCCTCACAATCACCAGGAAATTCTGTGATGTCACAAAAGTGAATGAGGCCAAGGTTGTGCATAAGAGTAAAATGAAGCCCTGCCACAAAGTCCTGCTTGAATTTGTCAATAAGTGCTTACTGCCTAGGCAGGAAAGAAGGAACATTGCTAACTATATGGACTTGGTTTTGATGGAGTGTCTTGAAAGTGGAAGGCAGATCAACTGGCCTGCATTTATTATCAAGCTATTGGACAGGGTTATCAATGGCTCCAAGGCCTATGCCACCCCTTATGGATTTATTCTGACTACTGTTCTGGATCATTGTAAGGTGCCACTGAAGAAGTGGGAGATGGCCACAAGCAAAGACCATTTTGGAATCAACACTTTGATTGCTTGTGACTATGAGGTGACTGCCATTTCCAATGAACCTGGTTCATCTAAGAAGACACCTATAAATAGCAAAGTCAGAGCTCTGGTGCAGGAGAGTGGGGCAAAGGATGCTGAGATAGCTAGGCTGAAGGCTCGTTTAGGGGAGGTGGAATCTGAGAGAGATGCTCTCAGAACTAAGCTCACAAAGGAAAAGGAGAAGAATGATGGCATTCTTCAAAATATGCTGAACCTTCTCCAAGCCAAAACCCAACCCTCCAGCTCTTCTAAACCTTAAGATCTTTAGCTTCATTTCCTGAACCTAGTCTAGACCTTTCAGTGACCCAAATTAGGGATTTTTCTTGTTTTGCACATGTTTTGACTGTTCTTATTTCTTTTTGTGAATTGTGGTAGAATCATATCCCCTATCAACGAAGTTTGCTATTTTTGCTCTTGTTGATTATTTATATTTCCTTGATAGTTTGAATATGCTTGGTGATTACTAATGATTAATCCATGATTGCTCTTGCAGTTGCCCCAGTGGCCATGAGTAATTGTTAAAATTCTAGGAATCACACTGTGTCTATGAAACTTTTCGATGATGCCAAAAGGAGGAAGAGATATTGTGCTTTATATTCTGAATAAGTGATGTTTATAACCTAATGAACCTGGTCCTTGATGATAAGTAAAAAATTTCTAACTTTGCATTGATAAATAATCTGAGTTCTGACATGGCTTAAGTGAGTGAAAAGCACAGAGTTGTCATCGTCAAAAATGGGGGAATTTGTTGGCCCAAGTAAAGGTGAGTTTTGAAGACTGACAAAGGAACTCAGACATGGACCAGGTCCATCCTAGTGAGGCACAGATATGGTCAACTCAAGCATGTGAGATGCACGTGAAGGAGATAAACCTAACTTACTAGAAGTGATATCTCCTGATCATGATCGAAAAGGTTGCATACTGAATAAGGATAAACACCCCTTACACAAAGAGAACACTGCTTAAGAAACAGATAGAGATAGAGGATGAGTTCAACTAGAACTCTTTCACTATGGAAGAGTAGCATCAGAATTCTAGTCAATCTCTATTTACTAACTCCATAAATATCAGTGTTGTTCTCTTTTACAAGTAACACATATAAATAGAAGTAAAACGTGAATTGAGAGTAAAATAGCAAGGCGATTGTGCAAGTAATTCTTGTGTGATTTAAGCGTGCAAACTTGAAGCTACTTGAACCAGATAGAAGAACCAGTTCCAAGTGTCTATCTTTTATTCTAGTTCAATTGTAGTAGGTGTTTTCATATTGTACCTTTCAGCTTATCTAGAAGCAATTGTATTAGGTACATAGAGTTTTCAAGTTAGAGTTAACTTGAAGTTATCGCAACAGTGTTAATCCTAGGTTTACAAAAGAGTTTTTGTAAATGCAGTTTTTGGCTCAGTGATTTTAGTGGAGAGTTTGGGAAAATCCTATTGGAAAGTAGGTCATGGGTTTTTCACCTTTTGAGTCAGGTGTTTTTCACGTAAACTCTTTGTGTTCTTTAATTTCTGTACTTATTATTTCGCAACAGTATTAGTTGGAACACATAGAAGAACCATGTCCTTCTATAATCAAGTTAAGCGAAAAATTGGGTACCACACAAATCATCCCCCCTCTTTTATGGTATTGAAGTATAAAACATTAGGAGAATTGTTAGGTGTTTGTCCAGATTTTCTTACCATAGTTGGTTTTCCTACTTCATGAAGGAAAGGACAACATATTTACCATAATTGAGTTTTTCTTTTCCTAGAAGGAAAATATAATTGTTCTATATTTGGCTAGTCCCTTTTCTTGTAGGAAAAGATTTGGAGTTCTATAAATTGAAGATTCGTCCTTCTCATTCAGTAGCATCCACAATGTAGCCATAGAGGGCTTGAGAGTCTTATTTAGGGGGAGAACTTTACGGGACAAGCGTTAGTGTGTCACTTGTGTTTGTCTCTTCGTGAGGTTATTCTCTCGATATTTTGTAATCTCTTTGTATTATAGTGGATTGCTCATCTCCGCCGTGGACGTAGGTCAGTTGACCGAACCACGTTAAATGTTTGTGTCTCTTTTGGTAGATTTCTCTTTTGTTGTCTGATTTATCGTCCTCGAAGGTTTGCTTTACTAGCTTTCGCATGACACCCGACTTTTTTCGATCCTAACAATAAATTTTGCATAAACTAAACTCTATTATTTTGTGAACTAAAAATGACTTTAGTTTGAATTTTTGAAAAGGTGTTTGAAAAAAAAAATAATACTCCATCCGTTTCAAATTAAATGAGGTAGTTTGACTCGGCACGAAGTTTAAGGAAAAAAAGAAAGACTTTTAAAATTTGTGATCTTAAAAACTTAAGGGGTAAAGCTTTGTGGGGCCATGACTTTTGTGTGGTTATAAAAGCTTTTCATTAAGGGTACAATAGGTAAAATGAGAAGTTCAAAGTTGAATTATTTTCAAATTTAAAAACGTGTCATTTATTTTAGAACATACTAAAAAGAAAAGTAGCTCATTTAATATGAAACGGAGGGAGTACTTCGTAGTTCGTATTCTTTCATGGTAAAAGATTGTAATATTCTCTTGCCAGTTGACACGTTTCTAAGGTAAGACGCTAAAATCTCGCCGAAGTATTGGCATACATACATCGAAGTCAAACTATAGTACAACTTGCCTTCTTTAAGTTCTTTTACTTCTTTCTATATAAGTATACAACACATCTCCCCAATTTCTTTGTTAGAACCGTTTCTTTTCTCTCATTCTTTCTTCAGATCCAAAAGGTACAATGGCAGGAGGATCAATGGCCCCAACACCATTGTTGAAAGATGAGCTTGATATAGTCATACCAACAATTAGAAATCTTGATTTCTTGGAGATGTGGAGACCCTTTTTTCAGCCATACCATTTAATTATTGTACAAGATGGTGACCCTTCTAAGATCATTAAAGTACCTGAAGGATTTGATTATGAGCTTTATAATAGGAATGATATTAACAGGATTCTTGGTCCTAAAGCCTCTTGTATCTCTTTTAAGGATTCTGCTTGTAGGTGCTTTGGTTATATGGTGTCTAAGAAGAAGTATATCTACACCATTGATGATGATTGCTTTGTGAGTATTTTCTTAATTTTACTCTTTATTTGTGATTATTACTCGGTTTTATTTTGTGGGTGTCTAGAAAAATTGGATCTTGGTGAATTTTTAGGGGTTTAAGAGTCAATTTTGTGTTTTGTTTGGTACCCTCTCGGGGTTTTGTCTAGGGGTTTGAAAGGGTAAAGGTGGTAAATTTTTCTTAGCAGCTTTATAATTTATATGGATCTCTTTAATTAAGTTAGATTTGGGTATTCTTTATTTGGACCTTTGGGTTTCAATTTAGAACCTGCTGATCTGCTGTTATATGATGTTTGCAGATCCTTTTGATAGCATAAATCTCTTAATTTGGTCAACTTTCATGTGGTTATAATTTTAAGCTAATCTAAGTTTATGGATTTATTTCTATGAAGTTAATTGGGCTGACATTGTTAATTTAAGTAGTGTATATTACAATTTTGCACCATTAGGTTTCAGTTTTTCTTTTTCTTGTATTGTTTTATAAATAAGCCAAGGGTCTTTAGGAAACAACCTCTCTATCGGGTAGGGGTAAGGTCTGCCTACACACCACCCTTCCCCAGACCCCACACGTAGGATTATACCTTGTTGTTGTTGTTGTAGTATTGGTTTATAAATAAAGTGACCAACTTGAGCTTTGATGCATTTGAGCCAGATCTTGTAATGTCTTCCCTCCCTGTTTTGGTACATGACCTAGTGGCTGAGATGAGGTTATATTTGTTTTCTATTGTCTGTAGCAACCTTTAATGTAATTATGCTACACCACTTCATGTTACTTCCTTTTAGAGTTGAATGCTTTCATGTGATATCTTTGTTTGTTGATTGACTTGGTCCCATGGCAATGATGAAATCCATTTTTAAATAATGACTTCATATCTGAGGGCTGCTTTACTAGTAATGATGGAGCCTTCCATCTTAGGCTCATATATTTGGAAATTTTGTCACACTTTTGACTAATTTATCCAATCATTGCATGCTTATTTAAGGGGAAAACCCTACTACGTGTCCATATTATCTGTCTTTTCAGGTTTTTGCATACCGTTAAGAAAAACTTTGTCAAAATTACCCTTTAACTTAGATCTTCGTCAAATATTTTGAAACAAATTGTGATTTTGATTGTCTTACTCCAATGCCTTGATCTATAGTTGATCTTGATAGTTGTTTGATTACATGCTGAACTCTTGTTGCAATGATCATGCGCAGGTTGCCAAAGACCCATCTGGCAAAGATATCAATGCACTTGAGCAACACATTAAGAACCTCCTTTGTCCTTCCACTCCACATTTCTTCAACACTCTCTATGATCCATACAGAGAAGGTGCAGATTTCGTTCGTGGCTACCCTTTTAGTATGCGCGAGGGTGCTCCCACAGCTGTTTCTCATGGTCTTTGGCTCAACATCCCTGACTACGATGCACCTACTCAACTTGTCAAGCCACGTGAGAGGAACACGAGGCATGAACTTTTTTGATAAGCCAAATTATAAAACTTATTGAATTGGTCGTTGTGGTTACTTAGAAAGCTTTCTTTATCTAATTAGCATTCATATTATTACTTTTTTCAGATACGTAGATGCGGTCATGACAATTCCAAAAGGCACTCTGTTCCCCATGTGTGGAATGAATTTGGCATTCGACCGTGAGCTGATTGGACCTGCAATGTACTTTGGGCTCATGGGTGATGGTCAGCCCATTGGTCGTTACGACGATATGTGGGCCGGCTGGTGTACCAAGGTAATTATCTGTTCTTTCTGCAATTATGTTAGCTTACTAAGATGGAAAACTGGTTAGTTTATTATACCCTATAAGATCTGTTCTTGGGGTTTCGTCGTAAACCCAAAGATTACCTTATGATGACATTTTTTTGGTTTCTTGAAGCAATTTGGTTGAATGAAAGAATCCTAATATTGTATTTTGTAGGTGATATGTGACCATTTGGGACTGGGTATCAAGACTGGTCTGCCTTACATATGGCACAGCAAAGCGAGCAACCCTTTTGTTAACCTTAAAAAGGAGTACAAAGGCATCTACTGGCAGGAAGAGATCATTCCATTTTTCCAGTCTGCAACTCTTCCTAAAGATTGCACAAGTGTTCAGCAGTGCTATATCGAACTGTCAAAACAGGTCAAGGACAAACTTTCCAAGGTAGATCCTTATTTCACCAAGCTAGCGGATGCCATGGTTACATGGATTGAAGCCTGGGATGAGCTCAACCCCACCACGGAAGGCTTGGCTAAGCTATCCATCTCAAATGGCCCGGCAAAGTAGGTTCCATTTAGCTTATGGTCCTCTTTGTTTTATTTTGCATTGAGTTGAGCTGGTTACAGTTTTTATTTATCTATTTTACTTGTTTAATTTTGGTCTAGGATTCACTTTTATGTAGACTCTAGGCTCTAGCTTTTTGCTACCCTTGCAGAGATTGTATTATTTATTTGTTGAATTTAATTCCAGACTTGAGAGTTCAGATTATCCATATTTATTCCTTTGAGTGAAAAAACTTTTATGCCCTCTAGCTTCTTGGTATCTCCCATGTGCTACTTTGTTCATCACTGGATGAGTTCAGTTATTGAAATATGCGTGTTTTTATGCTAAGTGCTGGGCTTATACGATGCTGATAAATTGCAGCCTATAAACTGAAGCAGCTTTAGGATGCAACTTATCGGTACCTAGCCATCCTATTATCTATTGCGGTGGCTATCAACCTACTGTGTTGTTCCTGTATTATTCAGAGTTGGGACTGGTTACTTGAGGTTGGTTATGTTTCTATGAAATTCACATAGAAGCGGTGAGTGAAACACACACACACACACACAAAAACTGGTCTCAAGATTACGAATTAGAGGGGTGGAGATTTTATGCGTGTTCTCATTATGAGTCAATGAGATTGGATGATTCTGAATAATTGTAATATAGCAGGGCTCCAACCTCAACTCTTTTTATGATAAGTGGATTGAAATTTGACCAGCACAACACCTCAATTTCCTTTTTTATGAGTTCCAACCTTCCTTTGGGAACTTCAACCCCAAAAATCAAAATCATAGTGTTATATTACAACTGAATGTTAAGCGTAGTTTGATATCAGATTAGACCTAGAATAGACCAAGACTTCTGGTAACAATTCTACCCTTTGTGAGATCATCCTAGATAGAAAACTCAAAAAATTAATGAATAAGAGATAACTAAAGATTTCAGTTATAGAATTAGCTAAAATCTAAGGCCCCGTTTGGCCATGAGTTTTACCAAAATAAATTTGGGATTTATTTTCAAAACTCATGTTTGGCCATAAATTTTGCCCATATTTTGGCCAAATTCCAAATTCCAAATTTCAAATGAGCTGATTTTGGGCCAAAATCCCAAACTTGGGAATTATATACATGTTTTTTCCAAAATAAAGTATATATTTTGAAAACGTATGTCCAAACACATTTTCATCTTCAAACCAAACTTCACCCAAATCAGATTTTTCAAAACAAATTTGGGATCTATGGCCAAACGCTAGCTAAGTACCGGTGAAATTGAAGGTATAAGACTCACTTCCACACCTATACAACCCGAAACTAAAAGACTAACTTTCCAAGCGAACCCCGTACATACTTACATATCTAGTCTGCATCGGGGCCTAATCTTCTTTGGTCCACAAGGAGCATCTAACACAAGGTGGACGTAAGATTTACGTACACACTACCTTCCCTAGATCCCACCGCGTGATTATATTGAGTATGTTCCCCTAGTCAAGATTCAGTAGACTTGTGCTAAAAAATAACCTGTTATATGACATGATAAGCTGTCGTGTCACCTTCTTGAAATACACTTGTCTTTTAAGTTGTAAACAAGATCAGAGACAGCGCTTTTCTCAACTTAATTATAGTATCCTGTTCGGGAATTCCCTTCATTTCGTCATTTGGCACTCAGTTCCAGAGATATAAAATTTTAATCACCACCTCATCTCCAGAGATATAAAGAAAAAGAAAAAAAAAAAGAAACGATCTTGCAAGTTGTACTTGAATTCGTAATACATTTGATTTTTTAAACCAAATACTAGCTTCGTATTGTAGTTTGTAGCGATTCCAATAGCTTGGGCTTTTTATTACTCTCAAGCCCAGAGAAAGTTATTTCTGGGCTAAAAGCCCTACAGAAAAAGGCCCCCTGTTGGACTAATTGTTGAAAAAAACTAAAAGGAAATAAAAAATGGCCCATGCAGGTCTCTAACTTGCGACCTTGACATTATTAGCACGACGCTCTAACCAGCTGAGCTAATGGGCCGATTTACTCTATGTCCTGCATATCCTCTATAATATCATTGATCATCTTATATTATTAGCTTCGAATTGGATAATCTAAAATTGATTTAATCTTTTGATTATTCATTAGTTCTATGCTGTTCCACTAACAATACAAAAAAAAATTGCACCATTAAGTCACTTAAAAATAATTTTAAAAATCTTTATGCAAACATTAATTAATTAATAATATTATAAAAATAGGAAGCAATCTTTTATATAAGTCAAATTATACTGCTTATGTGAGAACATCTTTAAATGTCAATGCATATAACATACATTCTTATTTTAATATTGCTCCACTTTTTCCCACTCTTTTCTATCTGCTGGATCCTACGCCATCGCAAAAAGAGTATGTACTTATGTTGTATTATAGACTCAAATGTGTGTTTGTATGGATAGAAGGCATGCTGGGATTGTGAAGAGAAAGTAATTAGGACAAAATACTAATACGCTAATACCGTACATCTAAACGATAATATTAGTACTTAATTCTAGCATTAATTAGTCGAATCAATTAATTGCACCTTTATTGAAAATTAGCTGAAACTGCATTGCAATAACCTAGAGATTTATACAAACCCATCTTGCACCAAGATCAGACCCCTACATGCATTAGACTGCAGGGGTGACAAATGGGCGGGTTGGGCTGAATTCGAGCGGGTCAAGATTGGTTAGGTCAATAAATGGGTCATTGCCCAATCCAGCCTAAAGTGTACTTGGGCTAAGATGGGCTGGGTCAAGATGGGCTAAACAATGGGTCATAACCCAACCCGCCCAACTTGACCCATGTTTTAGAACCATGCTTTTACATAAAAAAGCCTTTTACCTTAAAATGTGTAAGTTGAAAAATATTTTGCGGGGGGTTGGGGTGGGTGGGTGGTGCAGAAAAACGAAAAAATAGAAAACAGAAAACAGAAAATTTAAAATACAAAAAAGAAAGTAAATTTTTTTTAGGGGGTTAGGGGGGAGGGATAGGCGGTGAGTGGTGCAGAAAAAAAAAAAGTAATCTTTTCTTGAAGGGGTTTGCGCGCGGGGTTGGGGGGGGGGAGGGTGGTGTGCAGAAAAATAAAAAAAACAGAAAATTGAAAATACAAAAAAATAAAAAAATAAATTTGAGGGGGTTAGCAATTGGGGGGAGGGGGGTGGGAGTAGGGGGTTAGGGGTTGGTGGGTGGTGCAGAAAAATAAAAAAAATAAAAAATTGAAAATACAAAAAAAAAAAAAAGTAAAATTGGGGCAAATAAGTAAATTTCTAGATAAGTTGGGTCGAGATCCCTTTATTTTGGGTGAGTTTCACGGGTTGTATTTGGGCTGCTTAATAGGTCAGAATGACTATAAAAAATAATGGGTCTATTTGGGCTCAACCCAAATAGACTATTAATCTCTGGGCGGGTTGGATGAGTTTGGGCTCAAATTGCCACCCCTAAATTTAGACTACATGCATTAATAAATAAAGGAATTTTTACACCCTATAGAAAACCTTAGTACCCTATTTATTTTAAATAAATACCATTTTAAAATATTACATCCTATAGATACCTTTTATACTTTATAGCCAAATATCTAACTATAGTTACATCCTACATTTAAGGCACCATATAGGCTAAATAATATTTTTCTCTCTCCTTTTTAGTCTTTTCTCTCACATAATCACCGTAAAATTGTCTAACCAGGTTCTCTCTCTCTTTGCATACACTTTACTCTTTCTCCCTCAACCCACGATTCAGACCTCTTCTCCCACCCAAATTCTCTAGTTCTCCTCCATTATCACTCAATTACATCGCTTAGGGTAAGTTTAATTCGTTGATTTTGATAGACGAAGAGCAATTGGTTCAACTGTAGCGGCTCGATTCTGCATGGCAGTGGTCGTCGAAGTAGGATTCACAGCTTTTGCATAATTCATGGCTTCATTTGTGGGATTTGAGGGCTGGGATTGTTTGTAGTTGTTGTAGGAGGTTGGGCAGATGTGTTAAGGGGCTGACCAGCCGGAATTAATGGCTGGCCGCCGGCCGGCGAAGCCATAAGGCTGTTTCTCTCTCTAGATCGCCAAATCGCCTATTTGTATTCAGTTGTATTCGAATGTATATTTCAGCTGTATTCACATGTATTCAGCAGCATTCATTTATATATTTTAGATATATTAAAAAGTTATGCGTATTCTCTTGTATTCAGTTTTAATCAGTATTTAACTATTTTATTCAGCAGTAGTTAGTTGTATTCAAGTGTTTTATACAACTGTATTCAGTTCTATTCAGTTGTAGTTAGTTATATTCAACTATTTTATTCAGCAGAAGTTAGTTGTATTTTGTTGCATTCAAGAGTTTTATTCAGCTGTATTCAGTTGTATTTTGTTGTATTCAAGTGTTTTATTCAGATGAATTAAGTTGTATTTTGTTGTATTCAACTGTATACAGTTCTACTCAACCGTATTATTCATATGTATTTCTCTTTATTCAGCTATAATCTTTATTATGTATCTTTCAAATACAGATTAATGAGGGATCGTTTTAGTTCGTTGAGTTAAATTAGGAGAATATCATGTGATTTGATTTCCTTCCGTTTTTAACCAGTTTAACCTTCCAGATTTTGCGCAGATACGTTACTGTATTTAACGTTAATGCCGCTTGAATACAGCTAAATACATGTCAAACTTAGCTGGAATTCCACTTTTTTACGCCTATTTTTTTGGTTGTATTAGTGAATACAACAGCTTAAATACATGAAATACATTGTATAAAAACATAAAAGGTATCTATAACACGTAATATAGCAAAGATTATCTATAAATGGCTAATTAGACCTAAAAGATGGTGCTTTATGAAGAATTCTCCTAAAAGGGTAACATGAATTGCATTTATAGTCTCCCATCAGATATTATAAAAAGGTGTTGGTAACTTAATTAACTTCAGTGGAAAAGGTTGCTAGTAAATTTTATCGGTGGTCATTCAACTTTGTGTTTGTAACACAAAAATTATTTCTCACTTTTATCACATAAAAGTTATTTAACTTTAAGTTTGTAACAAGAAATTATTTTTTAGTTTTTGTCACATAAAAGTCATCCACTTTGGCCAAAATAATTAAAAATTAGATATCACATGAGGTTTTATATATTGTACCAAAAAAAAAAAGATATGACATGATACTTCAAAATAGCTATTTAGCTTAATAAAATATATTAAAGGTAATAGATTAATTTTAAAGACCTCTCACATATTTCTCTTCGTAATATTACTCTTCCTTGTGGTTTATGAAATAACGTTTATCTGCATACTTTGATTTCTTAGTAATAATTAACTCGAAGTCATGGGGAACATACCGAGCCCATAGATTTTGTATTTTTCATTGAAGTATTTGATGCTCTAACAATCACTCTTCTGCAAATTTCAAAAGATATTTTTGTAAAATTTATTTAACAAACGAGTATAAATTAAAAAGGGCAAATTTATTTTTTACATTAATGATGACGAGTTAACAAATTATTATAAAATAATCAAATAAGAAAAGTAAACATAATTTTCGTGAACCACAACTGAGATTAGCAAAATTTAGAAGGAGCTTTCTTATATAATTCCAAAATATAACTAACTTATTTTGGACTGTTATATATTTTTAGTATAAAGGGCAGCCCGGTGCACTAAGCTCCCGCTATGCGCGGGATTCGGGGAAGGGCCACACCACCAGG